ACTGCTGTTCCTGAAACCACGCCTTCTTTCTTTGCGTGCACATTTGGGCGGCATTATGCTAATATTTCCACATAGTGACCTAGATATGTGGGGGCGTGTTAGAACGAGCCGTTTTAGGTAGGTGTGGCTGACTCTTAACTTTTATAAAGAATATCTCTTTGAATTTGAGACTTTAGTCTTTGCAACTTTACAAATCTTCTTTATGCACCAAGAGCTTGTAACACTCCAAAGAGACTTGAAATCGCATCATATGACCCCTTTAAACTAGTGCTCTCAAACGATTAATCGCGATTAATCACATCCAAAATAAAACTTTTTGTTTACATAATATATGTTTGTGTACAGTGTATATTTATTATGTGTATATAAATACACACATGCACGTATATATTTAAGAAAAATATATGTTTATATATTAAATATATTTATATATAATAAATTATATGAATATAAATATATACATGTAAATATTTTTTAAATATATACTGAATGTGTGTGTATTTATATATACATAAGAAATATACACAGTACACACACATATATTACGTAAACAAAAACTTTTATTTTGGATGTGATTAATCATTTGACAGCACTAATTTAAACAGATCATAGGCCTGCTTGGTTTTAAGTTATAAAAAAACACAATATGTTTTTTCTGCTTATTGAAAACAGTTTTTATTGATTTTGCTGTTTTTCACACCTAGAATGATCACTGTAACCGTGAAATTGCTGACAATGACATGGAGGAAAAAATGGTTGTGATCACTTTAAGAGCTTTTTTTTCAGCTGATGAACAATAAAAACACTGACAGCCAATCAACATCCATTTGACTACTGACAGGCACTGGTGGTAAAATCCACTGAAATATAAAATATATGTGTGTGCAATAATGCCAAAAATAAAGAACCAATAATATAAATATCAGAATCTGAACAGTGTCACGTTACGCTGTTTAGGAAGCACGAGTAAACAAGAACTGTCTTTAATCAAGGAAACATAGGAGATAATCCACAATAAGAGCTGGCGCCAACACACATAGAGAACGAGTAGACCTGACAAACACAAACTGATCAGACTAGGACTTTTAAACACAGGGCAATCAGGGGAACACAGGTGACATCAATGGAACATAATCAAACTAAACGAGGACAGGAATATGACCAAATAAGGAAACACAGGAAGGACTACGGGGGGCAAAACAGGTCGAAAAGTCTGACATTTTGCCCCCTCCTGGAAGGTGCGTCCTCGCACCGTAGAACAACAGAGGGGGGGGGGATGGGTGGGAACTAAGGAGGAGGCTCAGGAGGAAGACGGAAACCCCGGGAGGGGACCGGCAGACAGAGACCAGGGAGGGGACGAAGGAGGGAGGAGCCAGGGAGGAGAAATTATGGGCCCGGAGCAGGAGGAGCCAAGCAGGACCTAGGCCACAGCCATAATGTCTACCCACAGTGGAGCCGACGGAGGGAGGAGCCATGGAGGAGTAATGGCAGCCGACTCCAGGTTTACAAGATGAAGGAATTGCTCAATTGAAGTGTGTTGCTCAGACATACGATGGGGCAGCAGTAATGAGTGGAGTAGCTGGAGGTGTTCAATCTCTTTTCAGGGAGAGGCACCCTGAGGCTATGTATGTTCATTGCTATGCCCATGTGTTGAACCTTGTCTTGTGCCACACCTGCAGAGGGATTACTGAGGTCACAGAGTTATTTAGCCTGCTGCAAAGTCTGTACTCATTTTTAGTTGCTCTCTGGTTAGCCACAACAAGTTTAAAGAAGTACAAACAAAATTGAGATTGCAACCATGTGAACTGGTGCAGCTGTCCAATACACGATGGGCCTGCCAGCTTCACACAGTGAATGCTGGGCTTTACAATTTGCCTGCCATCATTGAATGCCTGTCTGCCATCAACACGGCTACTGCAAAATCTGCAAATTCTCATTTGTGTATTTGTTGACTCTTTTCAAGGATCTCCTATCTGTAGTGGCCGGCCTGCATAAATACCTCCAAAAAGGGACCATTGACCTTCCCCAAGCAATGGCATACAAAGATGCTGTGTGTGCCTCCCTAAAACAAAAACGCAGTGATTCCACTGCTGCAGATATGTATGATAGAGCAAAGGCATTGTGTGAAATTATTCACATTATAATTGAGGAGAAACTTTCTGGGCTGAGATAGAAGACAAAAAGAATGGATGATGATTTTGTTGTTAAATCAGCTTGCGGTGCCCATAGGGGAATCAGCAAATGCCGAACAACTCAAAACAAAGTTATTATATCCATGTCTGGATAGAATGGTAACTGAATTGGAGAACCGTTTTTCTGCTGTAAATGCAACATTGCTTAAAGACATTCAGGCTTGTTGTCCAACATCTGAAAACATCCTGTCTGATCCACATTTGGCGGAACTTGCACACCACTACAACATTGATCTAAAGACAGAGGAAGTCATGGTAGCAAGGCACTTTTTGACACGTAAAAAGCAAGCTGGTGCTGCTCCACAGGACATGATTTCAGTGTATAACCTGTTGGATTCTGACATGTTTCCATCACTGAAATCTGTCATCCAGGTTGCCCTCACTGTACCTGTTAGCAGCTGTACGTGCGAGAGGTCTTTCAGTGCTCTTCGTCGTCTCCACACCCGGCTTAGGAGAACAATGTGTCAGTGCAGGCTCCATCAACTGGCAGTTATGGCAATCGAGAAAGATGTCATTGAGCAACTGGACCATGATAAAATTATCAGTAGTTTTGTTACTCTCAAGGAAAGAAGACACAGGTTGATGGTCCCCATGAAAAACCAGTAACTGGGCTACAAAAAGAAAAACTTTGTCCCTACTTCTCACAGGCTGCTTCAATTTTGCTTTATTTTAATTTTTTTAACTTTTGAAAGTGAATCACAGCACCCAGCCACCCAGTTTAATCCATTGTCCAGTCTCATAGCTATATTGTTTATATTGCAAATATGGATAGTCAGTGTAAGTTTAAAGTTATATGTTGTTATATGTTACATTTTTCTGTTTGTACTTGAACATAGAAAGAGGTGTGTACTAGAAATGCAAACAGTAAAATGTGTTTATACAGTAAACGTGTGTGTGTGTGTGTGTGTGATCAATTCAATTCAAGTTTATTTGTATAGCGCTTTTCACGATACAAATCTTTGCAAAGCAGCTTTACAAAAAATTAAGTTTCTACAATATATTTAGTAGTAGGTTTTCAGTGGTGACTGTCAAATGACGTAATCAAACAGATGATGAACACTATTAACAGCAATTATTATAAGATGCAATCAAACTTGTAGCAAAGTTTGGTAGTTCTGTATGTTGTTTCAGGGTTGGCATCATCTGAGGTCCTCTGAGGGGTTGGCATCATCTCTTCTCAGGTGTTCTGGATCCAATTCCTAGTTACCACGGGATGTCAATCAGAACCAAATAGAGACATAATTACTGTAGCTGCTATTCCAACCAAGCAAGAATGATTTGTTTACCCAAGCTAAAGAATATCAGGATTCAGGAAGACTTGTATTTGGCTTATTCAGTACTCAAATGTTATACCCATCTATGCAATACAGTGGAATACTGCAATAAGTTTAGTATTCCAACCTACCCTATTAGTCAAAGATTTATTTTATTTTATTTACTTATTTGTATGTTGTACTATTATACCCTCATTGGGGGCTGAGCCCCCCTTAAATGAAAATCCTACAATCGCCCCTGGTATCCAGTGTGCTTGTCTATCAGCATGCTAATATTCATGTTTACTGTACCATTTTGAAGTTATGGACCCATGAATTTGACATATGTCACAATACAGTTGATGAGCCATTGCATTGATATAGCCCAATTGGAGGCACAGCTGTATTTGAAAGTGCATTTACATTTTTTTTTATTGGTTTGGTACTAGTTTCACAAGGTGCACATTTTCAAAACTCTTAGTACAAAACTTTAAACTGATCACACGACTAGTCATTCTTTTAAAACCTGATCTCCTGATTTCATTGTAGTTGTGCATATTTTCATTCCACATAAACATTGTTTCAAAACACAAGATCATTGTGATATGTATTGAGAATATTTGAATTAATCACATAAACGCAACAGTATGATCTTCTTTCAAGTTAGTACTTTTAACAATCAGTTAATTCAAGAGCAAACAATGCAAGATTCATGTTTCAAATCCCCTTTGTTGCTGAAATAATTACAGTAATACAGGCAATAGCTGTCATGTTAGAAAATACACTTACATTACCTAACTTGCATATCTCACATAAAATCAATAATGTTTGTAAAAGTATTTATCCAGTGTGTTATCAAAAGGTGTGATGAAGGTATGACATGGCCATAAGGTTTTGTGCTAGAACAGAGTTTACTGTCAATGCAGTAAATGTCCTCACTGTGCCATATAACTGAATCTAGATTCTAGCTGAATTTTTCAGATGAAGGGTGTTATGTGCAGTCTTTACCATGGTAATGCGTCAATATACAGTATCACATGGCATAATGTCATGTAAAATGTTGTATTTGATGCCATCTGTCTCCCTTCTTCTGATACATCTCTGATCAATCTCTGATCAGTTCCTCTCCTTTGTGTCCTGCTGTATGTTCACAAATAGCAAAACAGAATATGGTTACAGTAAGTAGACACACACACACACGCACAGGGTTTCCTATCATTATGGTGACATTCCATAGGAGTAATGGGTTTTATGCTGTCTCCTCCTACAGAAACCCTACTCCTAAATACCCTTACGAAAATTACATTTTTTCTCATTGGACCCAAAAAAAGGACAATGATTTCAGATATTGCCATCTTTGTGGGGACATTTTGTTCCCATAAAATAGGGTTTACCTGAATCACACACACACACACACACACACACACACACCCTTACAAAATAGTGGTTATCATCTTAGATAAATCCCTTTTAGTGTAAAAATAATTCATTGCATTTGGTTATCCCTAAATTGCAATCATGTTCTATAGAAACTATATTTCAATCATGACAACTCTCTGAACATTTTAGCATGGTGATGGATATGACAATGTTAATATATTTGGTCTTGGCGGAACAGATCTGCTACGCTGCTGCTGTTGGTTATTGCTGTAGTTGTAGATTATTGCTGCTGCTGCAAGCAAGTACAGGAACTTGCTACTGCCAATGCATACGGCGATACGGTGCCATGAGTATTTAAGACATACTGCTGCTGCACAAATAGCATATAAAATAACCCCGTAGCAGATCTATACAGGTGGAGCTGGGGAAGGTGTAGGGTTTCAGAGAAACTCTGAAAGCGCACTGCAGGAATCTCAAGTGAATGCTAGCCAGCCATATAAATGCAAGGCAGCAAGCTCATTGGCTGCATATGCAGCATGAACCAATCAGTTTGTGCCAAGTCGTTTAACTCTCTGAGTATCATCAGTTACGTTAACACCCCCATCAGAATGCGCCATCTAGAGTTTAATGACTGAACTATATATATCTGTTGAATCTATATCTATAGATGCACCAAATGATTAACTGGTTAACCATTAAGATGAGTTAGATTCAATAATAGACAAATGTATTAAACTGAACGAGAAGTCATGCAAACAAAAAGTTTGATAGTAATAGCTTTATGAAAGGCAGTTACTGTGAATGAAACATTTATATAGATGAAACACTTATTTTGTGTAGTGAAAATTATATTTTGTGATTGTGTGTATTGTACGCATGGCCGCTTAGAACTTCCGTAATTTTGTGTAGTGAAAAGGATATTTTGTGATTGTGTGTATTGTACTAACACAATTGAAAATATGCTGAAATGTTTGAAAAAGTGCCCTTTTGATGATCTGTTGTGATATTAGTACTAAGAGTTTTGAAAATGTACCAATTGCTTGTGAAAATTGCGCCAAAGCAATAAAAAAAACTAAAGTTTCACTAGTGGCTTACCCCCGATCTTCTTGTCTATCGCCATGCTAATGTTTAGACATTTTTTTTACTGTATCATTTTAAGGGGACGGACCCATGAATCTGACACATGACAGTACAGTTTAATGTGCCATTACATTGACAGCCTAATTGGAGGCATGGATCCATGACTTCATGACGCCAAACACTAACACAGCCAAGTTTAAACTTCAGTATGCCTACTGTACACAACTGACAAAAAAAAAACGTATACAAACTTTTAAAATTATGAATTAACAAATCTTTACACTTAAAATTAAGATAAATGAGAGTTGGATAACATATCTAGTATTTATGTATATGTATTATGCCAACTGAGATTTGCTCTCTGAGAGTTCTGGCACTTTTATAATATAATTTATATATTTTTAAAAAATCGACTTAAATTTTGTCTTAATTGCACAAACAAAAGAAAGAACAGTTTTAACTAACTGGTCACAGATGATAATCCACTTTGTTGATTAGCAACTGTGTTTAACATTATTTAACAATCATACAGTGTATATCAAACAAAGTGTAACTGTAGTGTAAGACTGTTTACAGTCTGGTAATACAGCATAACATCTAGATCTAAATAATATCACATCAAGCCCCAGGGTAATCGCCGATGTCGTCATGTATGACATCACTGTGATGTTGATGCTGCTGTAGACAGTCATGAATGGTTTTAATGACTGTTTCTAGGCGACGATCTAAAGCGGAAAGATGTTGTTCAGTGAGGAGTGGGGCCACCACTGCAAGGGGGTCCTGAGACAAAGATGCACGCATGACATCACTCATCCGATACGACTGGAGAGATAGCAGGTGTAAACGAAGCAATGTGGAACGACGGACCCTGAAGGTAAGAACGAGGGAATAATAAGCAGATCACAAACACAACACTCTTAAATTGTTAGTTATGTTCACTCTACCTGCAGCACTGCACAAGAGGAGCCAATATAGATGGTTCATCATTAGAATGACGTCCAAACCTACAACATAGAAGAGCCATCATACTCATTCAAACTGAGTCAAACCAGAATATCATCAGAAAGCCTCTTTGACTATCGATTTTGAATACTCACGCTCTTCCATTGTCGAAGTGTATGAGAAATGTGTCATTGCCAAACTTCTCAAACGTTTCATAGTGGTGCCTGTCCATGTTACCTGAGGAGGGACAAAGATAAAACAAAGATTTAAAAATAAAAAGAGACCGATAACGAGTATTTTGATCATTTACATCAGGTCAATGAAAGTTAATGAGGTCTAAAGTTGATGTTTGGACTCCAATGACTTTCAAAAAAATATTCTTTTGTACACATTTTTTGAGTAAGTACTGTGGCACTTGGATATATAGGCCTACCATATTAAATTATTACCATATTAATGTAATGACATGCTACCAAGCTATTTTAAAGAATGTCATGGTTTTAGTCCAAAAACAGAATATTTCTATGGTCCACGTCAGAAAACCAAGTGTTCACCCTTGAGTCATCTGAACTGATTCATGACTCACTCATTAGAAAGTCCAGAATGCTCATGTCGATCAGATCCACCAATCGAGTGCCTCGGTCATAGGGAGGAGTCGTTTTTATGGAGTCACAGTAGTTGGAGTCCATCTCCCATCTGTTACAGAAATAATCATCGGTTACTTATGCTGGATTCTCCACTGCGAATCACACTCAATAAATATGTACAAAACAAGAAAGAAGAACCCACTTTGAAAGTCTAGATTGAGGACTTTCAGTCTATAGACACAAAACATTAAGAGATTTTTCCAAAACATATTCTTTTGTGTTCAATAGAAGTAAGGTCAAGATTGGAACTACATGAGGTTGAGTAATTTTGGGTGTACTATCTTTTTAAACAACACACTCTCCACCCACTGAGCCAGCTTGCTTCGGCTGTAGGACCGCCTCCAGGGACTCCTCCATGAGCGACGTGGTGCAAAACTCAGGTCTGGCAACATAGCAGCCATAGACCCCTCTATCTTGAGGGGACGGCCACAGATAGCATGCTCTGTGGAGCAGTAATAGGAACACTGGCCATAAAAACATGCATTCCCCACTGCAGAAAGAGAAAGACAGATGGTGACGTACAAGAATTCTGTTTGAGAGGAAGTGATGGAGGAAGATAAGAGCCAAGTGCAACAAACCTGGAGAAGTGAAAAATGTTGTGACCAGTTTATGGTCGGTGGTGATGTCTTTGATCTCTTTTATTACATTAACAAGCCTCCCAACCACTGGAGGCACCCTTCTGAAACCCAGTATCCTTATTGTGAGAGAGAGAAAGTGTTTTCATAATTATTTTTTATTTCATTTGAATTCATACTGATTAGCCAATTTATCATATGGCTATATATGTAATATACAGTCTGTGCTCTTACTTGTCCAGATGGAAGGCTGCGATCTCAGCATTGTGCCTCTCAAAGTCAGAAAAGTAATATAGATTCACATTGGTCTCCTCATGCCGTTCCTGTCTTAATTCGAAACAATTCTGATCATAATTTTAAGCAAAATCATCAAAATTCAGATCTTGAATTACATTAACATATTTGAGCCACTTCACTGTTCCCTTACAATGTAAAAACCATTCTGGCACTACATTTTCATTGTTTTTCAGTGTTTGACCATTGCACTCATTCTAAAGTGAAAAAATTAACTTTAAAAATGTGTCTCCAAATCTTGCATTTATTTGTTTTACTTTATTTGTTCATTGCACTGCATCTCACAGACAGTGGAGTAGAAAATCGCAAGGTCTTGCTAGCCATTTTATAAAAAAATGAACCTACCTGAGCATTGCGTTTTAGAACAGTGTTATTCACATGATGCTGCAAAAGACCCATGCAATAAATATGTGTCTAGCAGCTCAAGTTTTTACATATAAAAACAATCGTAGCACAGTGGAGTGCAAAAGCATATTCTGTGAGAATGACCCTTTAGTTCATAGTGTAAAGAGATCTAAAAATATGTGGTTTATAACCAGAACGTATTTATTATAGCACTGAAGGATAATGCTAATAAAGCAAATAAAAAATGTCTCTATCAAGCAGTAGGGCTGCACGATTAATCGCATGCGATTGTCATGCGTATCTTGTCAGTAAAGCCGGTTCTGTGATTAGTAGTAAATCTCCAGCACGTGCTTTCAGATGGAGCAGCATTTACTACACAGAGCCGTAGTTCACTGACAAGCTATGCAAAATCGCGTTCATAATCACAGACGATTTAATCGCACGATTATGAAATCGAATAAATCGTTCTGCGATTATGAAAGCTGTTTGCTTGGCTTGTCAGTGAACTACGGCTCTGTGTAGTAAATGCTGCTTCATCTGAAAGCACGTGAAAATACCACATTTAATTACATGTTTTTACTCCAAACTCACTTCATAACGTCAGTTGAGTGTTTGAAATAAATTTGGAGTGTCCGCATATTTGGAATTTCCGCGCGAGAGCGCCCTCTGGCCTTCGGATGGAGATTTACTGCTGATCACAGAACTGTGCTTCACTGAAAGATACAGATAACAATCGCAGCTTCTGCCTAATCGCGAATTATCGCCTTTGCGATTTAATTTCGATTAACTGTGCAGCCCTATCAAGCAGTCAATTGATGTTAGGGCTGCACGATAAACCTCATGCGATATTTAATGCACATCTTGTTAGTAAAGCCGGCTCTGTAATCAGCGGTAAATCTCCATCACGTGCGTGCTTTCACATGAAGCAGCATTTACTACACAGAGCCGTTGTTAAATATCGCATGCGATTTATCGTGCAGCCCTAATGGATGTACATACTCTTGTACATACACAAATTGAAAAATGTAACGATTTGTTGTACTAAGAGGCACATGGTGCTTGGGTCTCACTTCATGGGTTTGAAGAGCGCCTGTCCATAATTAGGAAATGACATCACCAACTTCAGCTGCGTCCCACCTGATTTTTGCACTGAAAAGCACAAAAGTTTACTTGTAACATTTGTTGTTATTGTGATTTTATGTCTGGTAATTGTGACTTTAGTTCTAACAAATGCATAGTTCTATGCTATCTTATTTATTCTCATCTTGACCTGGTCCAGCTGGTACTGCACGTACATGAGAATTTTGGGAAACACTTTACTTAAAGCTGCAGTCCGTAACTTTTAGCGCTCTAACGGTTAAACAGAACTGCGTGCGTCTTGCGGAAGAACATTGTAGCCGGAGCGACTTCTCTCTATTTATGTCTATGATGAATCACACAGGTACTGGGCTACTCCGCAGTGGTACCTACCCAAACCAGTCTAAATAGTCTGAATATAAACACTTATTATAGGTGTACCGTAGTGATTCAGCACAAGCCAAAAACACGGTTTCGAGTTATGGTGTAATCGCTTAATATATACATTTTTAACACAAAGTTACGGACTGCAGCTTTAAAGCCTGTATATATAATACAGTATAAAGTAGCTTTAAATGGGTAGTTCACCCAAAAATTAAAATTAGCCCATTATTTACTCACCCTCAAGCAATCCTAGGCGTATGACTTCCTACTTTCAGATGAATCCAATCGAAGTAATATTAAAAATCGTCTTTGATCTTCCAAGCTGTTTAATGTCAGCAGGTGTTGCAGTGCATCAGTCCAAAAGAAGTGAAATAAAGCGCGTCCATCCATAATAAAAAGTGCCTCACACGGAGGATGACGTAAGATGTCGGAGTTGCGCATGCGCCGGTGAGTCTCGTGGAAACCAACGTTTGTTTACAAGAGCAAAGGAAGCAAAGTTGCCTTACTTTAGCAAAGAAAAAACAGTCTCCTCTTGGCTTATATCGAAATCCTCCGGCATTCTTCTTTGAAAATCCTCGTTTTGTACTTCTAATTCGTGACTGTTGTTTTGTTTTGATCTCTCCCCTGCGCTTCTGCGTTCATCACTTCTGAGCGGCGCATGCGCAACGCCAATGTCTTACATCATCCGAGCTGCTTCCGTGTACAACAGTGAGCGCAAGCTAGATTAAAGTGATTATTGAGTTTTAAATATGGTTATTTTTCTTACAAAAACGCATCGGTTCGCTACAGGAGGCCTTTGTTCACCCCCCGGAGCCATGTGAGGCACTTTTTATTATAAATGGATGCGCTTTATTTCACTTCTTTTGGACTGAAGCAATGCAACACCCGCTGACTGCCATTAAACAGCTTGGAACATCAAAGTCAATTTTTAATATAACTCCGACTGGATTCGTCTGAAAGAAGAAAGTCATATACACCTAGGATGCCTTGATGGTGAGTAATTCATGGGCTAATTTTCATTTTTGGGTGAACTAACCCTTTAATGCATTAATTATGCCTTGTAATGCACTTTATAATGCATTGTATGATCTCATGAATAATTGTAACCACAGTTATAACACATTATAATACTTATCTACTCATTAATACACATTTAGAAAGTATACTGCATTAAAACACATAACAAACAAACCTTCAAATATTATAATGCATTTTAACTTAGATTATAATTATTTATGAAAATGTATAATGCATTACAACATACATTATGAATACCTTGTAATGCATTATATATAAAAGCTTCAAGTAAAGTGTTACTGAATTTTCTTAAGCCCTCCTCCTCCCCAGGACCACTTCTCTACTTCAGAGGTTCTTTTTGCTTAAAGGGGTCATTGGATGCTAAATTCACTTTACATGTTGTTTGAACATAATGTGTGTTGGAAGTGTGTGTACACATCCACCTTATAATGATAAAAATCCACCCAGTGTTTTTTTTTTTTAAATCCCTATTTTAAAATCCCCTTTCTCAAATCAGGCTATTCTGAGATTCCTGTCAGAAAAAAGTAGTTATGTACAGGCCACTCCCACGATAGTTGATTGACAAGGCCATCTTACCTTAGACCTGCCCTGAGTGAGCTGTGAGCTGTCCACCATTGTGTTAACTCCGGTGCAGTGGAAGACAAGAATGTCTCCAATTAAGCGACTGAGGTGTTTTGTTGTTGGATGTAATAATGAACATAGCAGTCGTCATTTACTCCCGACATCTGAGCCGCTGAAGACGCGCGCTGAAGGGAATGCGTTTTTTTATGAATCTTTGCAAATCGTGTTTCCTAATAATGTGCTAGTTAGCAAGTTTCACGGCTAAATGTGGCTAAAGTTTACAGTCTGCTCGTCACCCACGGAAGAGAGGGGCGGGGTGAGCAGAGCTCATTAGCATTTAAAGCGACATGCAAGGAAACGGCTTGCTATGAACATAGCTGATTTTGACATGGTAAAAAGGGTGTTTTTATACTACCATTGAGAAATTTTAACCAAAGTATGTTATAGACTTTCATTAAAACCCTAAAGAATCATATCAACTTGTGGAAAATGGGCATCCAATGACCAGTTTAACCTTGCACCATGTATCCTAATCCCTGTAATTCAGCAGAAAGAATTGATCCTACCCAGCAGATCTAGTCCACAAAAAGTCAATACCTACATTCTATTCTTATCAATAAAATACTTTTAAAAGGAAAGTCCACCAAAAAATGTAAATCACTTACTCACCAACATGTTGTTTAAAATTTGTATGACTTAAAGCCCAAAATATACTTAATTTTTGTACATGTACTGTACGCTAGTGTATGTGTACAGTTGAACACATAGCCTTTCAAAGTATACTCCATTTGCTAGTGTGCGCTTAGACGGTCGACACGCGCTCTACAAAGCATCATCTTAGTCCAGTGTCTGTGCTATATTTCTCCAGAAGTTATGACCAATAAAAATATATTTGTACTCTTTTAAACTAAAGTTGCAGAAATTTCATAAAACTCTCACTCAAGCACTTGTCAATGTGGCCATATTTTGTTGCTGTTGTTGTTTCGTCTCTTTAGTTTCATCGGGTGGTGTGCGTACTATTCTGATGACAAAATTCGCAAAAGTCTGCACACGCTAGCATACACATAAAAAGTGAAGTATACTTTGGGGTTTACTTTATTCTGTGGAATGTAAAAGAAGATATTTTAAAGACTGCTGATAACCAAATGGTTTCAGTTACGATTGACTATTGCATAAACCAAAAATATAATGGAAGCCAAAAGGAAGAAAAACTTTTTGGTTATATCCATTTCCACTTCCTGGGTGTCACTTCCTGCAGCAGTCATTGTGCTTGTTGAAGCAGATGCATTTTGAACGGAGAAGCTGATGGAGGTCTGGATGTCAGGGTATGAGTGGAGCTCGCAGGAAGTGTGGGAGATGGACAGGACAAGTGAAACCACAAGCAAGTGCAGACTCAGGAAGACAATTAACAGCCATAAGCGCAATGTCCGTGAACGCCGACGTGTACATAATCGCATTGTACTGAAATGAGATGGCAAAAAGAATAAAGTTCAACTCTACAGTCACCTGTTAAAGAATATAAAGCAAAACATACCTGTTTTCCAGTTCTGTCTCCGTCTGTCTGAACTAAAAGGAAGTTCAGATTGTCCTTCAGACCTTTATTCCCTGTTTGCACTCTTGCACTCCCTTTTTCTCTCAAACATTACAAAGGAGAGGTGCCAGGTTAGGTTGATCTGAATGGACATGTTTACTTTCCCCCCTGCAATGTCCAGCACATGTCTCCCAATACGGGAGAGTCAGGTCAATTTTTTTTTTTTTATAAACCAAATTGTCCTCTACCCTCTTGCAACCAAGCACACTTTTTCACTTTCATTCTCTGTAGAAGACAATTGTTTATTAGTCATTTCTCTGGTGAAACCAAATGATTGGGGGTCTGGCCATGAAAGCTTATATGAAAACATTTTGTAATAAATATTTTTATTTTATTAAGATTGATCTTTTATAATTAATTTAATACAAAAACTATTGTGGTGGCGGGGGGCAGGGGGTTAACATTATCAAACTAAAATTCAATAAAATATTAATATTTTTATTAGTATTGTAATGTTGGCAATGCTAATATTAATCAATGAATGATTTGATAATGAAAATAATGAATATTAAATGGGTCATATGATGCGATTTCAAGTTTTTCTTTCTCTTTGGAGTGTTAGAAGCTGTTTGTGAATACATAAGATCCCTAAAGTTGCAAAGACTAAAGTCTCAAACCCAAAGAGATATTCTTTATAAAAGTTAAGACTCGTCCACTCCCTCCTAAAACACCTCATTCTAACACGCCCCCACATGTCTACAACACAATGTGGGAAGATTCGCTTAACTCCGCCCAAATGTTCACGCAAAGAAAGAAGGTGTAACTTTATTGTTGCAGCTACCATGTTGTGAAGACGCTGTGCATTTCATTGTGAAAGCGAAAATACTTTGTTTGGACTTCCAAAAGAGGACACGACTTTAAATCAGTGGTTAAGTTGTATTTACAACACTGTTCCAGAACAGTTTAACCCAAATATTCAGATGTGTGCAGCTCATTTTATGGAGGACTGTTTAGTAGTAATACTACTACTACTAATAATAATAATAATAATAATAATAACAATAATGATGGCAAAACAATATCAATGTCAATATTAATGAAAATTATTTATTAATATTAATAAAAATAAAATTAATAAAATAATGTTTTAACAAGAATTTAATAACAAAAGATATTATGATTTAATTATTCATATTTATTTTGTATTATTTTAACATTTTGGTTTCCCATTTTTATGAACAAAACTGTTACATTCCGGACACTTTAATAGGAATGTGTATTATTTGTTTTTTCCCCCCAATGTTTTGGTATTCTGCTACCAAGATAAATAAAAAAATAAACATGGTTGGGCCAACAAACTAAGGAATTATTATATTATAAAGGTTGCAGAAAATTTATTTTTCTCCTTTCGTTGAAGTCTTGCCTTCTTTTCCCCAATACTCCTAAGTGGGATATGCTTTCACGTAAATATCATTTCACCTGTCATGTAGAGAACTGTTGTAAGTCTGCTGGACAGTTCCAAATCAGGAGAGACAGGTGCAAAAATTATCTTTTG